AAACACCTTCTCCTCAATCCCCCCTAACCTTTGCATCACTCCAACCAATGCGGTCACTCTGTGGGACACGGAGGACCCCACTGATAGCCACTCACACCTCACCCGCCTCCCCTCTTCCCCTCTCACCTGCAGAACCCTGGATCATCAGGAGGAAGAAGGAGAAGAGCAGGTACAGGATCTTCATGGCTGATGCCTGTCCCTGGTCTTCACAGGTCTGTACAGGGGGGACAGCAAGGCAATAAGGACGTGGAGGAACCCAGGTGGTGCAGAAGCATGCGCACTCTGGCATACCAAACTGCAGAGGGGCTACCTTCAACTAAGCAGAAGATCTTCCTCTACCTTTCACTTAAGAACAATTCTGAGGTCGTTACCACTCTGCATATCTTGTGATTATTCTTTTTTGCTTGGCATCTCTCGTGGCTTGATTACATGCATGCATACTTCCAGCATTTTCCATTTAGCTGGTGTAGGGTGATGGGGTTTGAACAGCGAAGCTGAATGGGCATTTTTCCAGGAAGAGACCCCACAATTGCCTACCTGATTGAAGGTCTTGGTGTTGAGGCAGGAACAAACCCAACAGGAATCGCTGATGTCCAGATGCCCTTGGGTCCCAGCAGTGCTGTTTTGGCCAAAACAGCTGGCTTTTATACCATTGCTGGTACTATGCTGGTGGGTGGGACATGCGTTTATTCCTGCTTACACATCTCCCTTTGGCCTTTTAGAAAGCGACCCATGTGTGTGGGGATGATGCCGTTGCACCTTATCCCTCTCTGGAGCAATGGGAGAGGCTGAGGTGCCTCCTGGGGGCTGTTGCAATCTTCACCGTTATCCTCACGCAACACCTCTTGTGACATCCCGCAGCACAGCGGTCACACGGGCTGCAGTGGCTCCGCATGAACTGCCTGGGATGGACAAAGCAAAGTGGTTGGTGCAGACACCAGCAGCAAGCGGTCCCATAAAGGGATAAAATATTTGTCTCTCCATTTCCTCTCTGTTTACTTAGTAAGCAGGTGGTGTGTGACATGCAGGATCATGCAAAATATTTTAGTTTTCTTCTCTCTTAACATCAAAGAACAGCTTCGTTCTTGTCAAGGTGATTTGCGTTTGACATGCCAAGAAGTGAGAAGTGTAAGGCTACCTTTCTGGTGGCTGCTCAGATATGCAGTGAATGGAGACTATGCAAACTAAGCGGGAGTAGTAGACTTACTATGCCTTTGACATGGTGCAGGCTTGATTAAGATAGTTTGTGGATTTATAGAGATGATGTGATTCTTCAGAAAGGTACAGATCATGGTGGGTCATGGAGGAAAGCTTCAAGAGAAACAGAGAAGCATGGGACAAATGGGCCTAAGCTCATGCAAGCAGGCTGCTGGTCAATTTGCTTCTCTGGCCACGCCCTACGTCTGATCGCCATAACCTATCCTATATTCCTAGTAAACTTTATTTCTAATGATTTTTTTTTTTTTTACAAATAATCTGTCTATGGTGTGTCTGCATGGCTGTGCAGTCCTCTAGCAAACTTCAAGCCAGAGTACTAGGTATGGGAGAGGTGCTGGTCCATTGCTCAGAGAGACCAAAGCTGTGGGAGTTGGGTCCAGAAGAGACAAAGGCTCTTGATGTTGGATACCTCAGAGACCAAGGGTGCATCTACCAGAGTGGTACATGATGCAATGTCCCCCAAGCAGCAATCCAGAGAAGGAGGACTGGGTGTCCATGGTGGTGTCCTTGTGGGTGTGTGATGGGAGCATCCACAGTTCTGGTGGTTTGGTACCAGGTTTGGCACCAGTCCAGGGCCAGCACAGCCAAGAGATGCTGATTATGGCACAGAGAGGGCTTCCAGCCCATGCCGCAGGTAGGCCATGGCTGGGGCCAGCCCCTGCCCAGGGGAGCTGCTTTGAGCTGGAGATCTTGTGCTGGACCCCACTGGAGCTGCAGTTTGTCCCCGCTGAGCCAGAGCAGGTCCTTGAGGCACAGCTGATGTCCCCCACCTGGCCTTGGCCCATGCCCATTGAGGTGCCCAGTGCTGCAGGCTGAGGATCCTCCCAGGCCCATTGCCCTACCAGCCCCCATGGTGACTGCCCCATGGCAATGCAGGCGCCTCCACCATGGCCTTCCTGAGCTGAGCATCATCAGTCTGCCCCAAGGGTTGCCCACAATGCTGACCCACAACCTGGCCCTGGTCTCCTAACTGACCACCCTCTTGAACCCAGTCTTGAACCCCCACACCCATCACTGACCCCCAACTCAATTCCAAGCTCCCAAGTGCCCCCCTGGCCCACACACCAGTCCCTATTTCCTTGGGGACATGATGACTTCTCCCATGCCCCAGCCACCCCTGGACCCCACAACACCCCCCTGGTGCCATGCACCACATCTAGGGATGGACCCAAGGCCACCAGAGCGGTATGTCCTGTGGAAAAGCCCCATGGGGACTCCTTACCCAGCTTGAGACCCGATGGACAACCAGCAGGCACCCACTGAAGCTAGGGGTTTCATAGCAATCCACCCCCCGTCCCTGACCCTGGATGTGAGGTGTGGGGATGCCCTTGCTGGGAGGGGAGACTGGTGTCGGGGTCCCTGTGGGTCCCCCCACGCACTGTGGGGGTGATGCTTGGGCTCGGGGCCAGCTTGGAGAGAGGGTAGGTGAGGGTGGGGGATGTTGGGGGTGGGGGTTCTGTGCCTATCAGGAATTCACCCCATGTTCTCTGCCCTTCCCCACACATGGAGAAAAGAGACGTACGCCCACAGGCTGCTCCCCGGGAAAAAACACGCACACCTCAGCAGCGGGAATGCAAACCACCAGCTCGTATTGGGGACGGGGGTAAGGGATTCCCACGGGACCGCGGTCCGGCTGTCCGGTGTTGCCGCCGCTCCCAGCAGTGTTTCGTGCCTCCACGCAGCATCGTCCTGGCCACGCTGCAATGGTGTGGGGTGGTCTCAGAGATCTGCTCGGAGATCGGTGCCAGGGACCCAGGAGGCCATCAAGGATACCATCGGCTGCAGGAGGAAAGGTCTGACAGTGCCTGTCCCAACCAGGACAGCAGTGAGGGCTCAGGGGTATCCCCTCGCCCTTGGGCTGCGTATTGTCTCCTCTTTCTCCAACAGCATCACCTCCAACCCCAACAG